AGAGAGAGAGAGAGAGAGAGAGAGAGAGAGAGAGAGAGAGAGAGAGAGAGAGAGAGAGAGAGAGAGCACATGAATAGGTAAAGGAAGGGTGTATGGACAGGTAGCTATGCACCAAGCCCATTCCAGGCCTAAAGAAGTCAGAGAAAGTGAGGAGGTAGGAATTGCACGTGGGTGTTAGTGCCCCCTCCAAATGCTAAATAGCAGAAGGAGCCTAGGAAATTTGTGAACAAATAGGTGCAACAAAAAAAGCCCCTGGCCCACAGGTGCTCTGGGTGTGGCATGAACAGAGGGCAGAGGAACACAGTGGTCATGAGGAATTCCGAAGGACCTCACCGAGGATGGGACCTTAAAGCAAAATATACGGTAATTTACTCTGGTGGACAGACTCAGCACTAGAGGACCGACAAAAGGGAACCAGCTGGGACTATGGCGTGGAGCTCAAGAAGGAGAAACGCAGGTGGATGCTAGCTGTGGCCTGCGTGTGTATCTAAGAAAGGTTAAGGCCAATGATCTTGTGTTCAAGGCAAATGGAAAGAAAAGGAATGGGAAGAAAATTCTACCTTCACCAAAATGAATAAATAAGTACTACTTATCTTTTTGCACTGTGGAATTTAGTCCTTGCCTAGGCTTAATTTTCTAGCCAAACTGAGGCTAAACAAGCAGATTTGAGAACACAAGTCCTTCAAGGAAGTGATAACTAGAAAATGATAGATAGGTAAGTAGGTAGGTAGGTAGGTAGATAGACGATAGATAGGATAGATAGATGATAGATAGGATAGATAGATGATAAGATAGATAGATAGATAGATAGATAGATAGATAGATAGATAGATAGATAGATAGATAGATAGATAGATAGATAGATAAGCAGGAAGATCTGGGTTAAAGACTCATTCTATTTTATTGCTAGTTGAGAATGAAAAAGAAATGTCTTCTAGTTGATTCCATGGGAGAGACAGGAGCATGAACTCCATTTGTGCTCATCTCTCCCCTGCTTAGAGTCACTTGTAGATCACTCAGACATAGGACTTTGTAGAGAGAGGTTGAGGCTCATCTGATGAACCCTAGTGAATGTGGAGGAGGGTTGAGGCTGGTGTCCATGGGGAGGAGGGACCTGGGTGTGAGTCTAGACACAACAACCAGTTCTCCAGCTTGAGTGAATGCCTCTCTTGGCTCCACAGCAGCTGAAGGCTTCTGAAGCCAATTACTTCCAACACTAATGCTGAGATCCTAGAACACATACACAAGAGGGTGGGGTGCACAAGGTGATGTACAAACTGCCTGACAGCCGTAACTGGCAAGACTGCAGGCATCCCTTCGGGGTGCCTTGGTCCCACAGGCTGTACATCCATCAATATGAAGATGACATTGCCAGCCAGTGTGCACAAGCAGAGCCCATGCCTTTATCTCATTTATTTTCAGGACATAATAGCTATCATAATAGATCGACCCCAGCATTTCAGTAGCTTAAGAGAAAATGAAGTTTATTCCCGATTCACGCGATGATCTAAGGAGGATGTTCTTAGTCAGCAGGTAACTTTCTTCTCCATGTGATGACTCAGGGACTTGGTTTCTTTCGTTTTATAGGTGCCAGTCTCTGCATGTCTTGTCCATTCATCTCAAATGGGAAGTAAATTGGAGGTGGTATGCACATCTCTAACTGCCTTGCCTCCCAAGTAATGCCACATTTGCTCACATCCATTTAGTAGAAGCTAGTCACTTTTACTCATTCAAATGCAAAGGAGACTGAAATACAGTCCTTAGCTGGGCAGTCACTCTCCTGTGACCTCTCTAAACTGCAAAAGGCTCTTTTGTAGTAAATGATTGTCCTGCCACAATGCCTTTGCGATTAAGGACGGATATTTTAATATTAATGGCCAAGAGCAATATGATCTATGTCTGTGCAGTTTTCAGAGCCTTTAATATACATCATTTTTGTCTGATAAGAGCCATAAGAGGTAGATATTATTCTTTTCTGTCAAGCAGGTTACGAGTGGTTATATGATTAGCCTGGAGCACACGGACAGTACAGATCAGGGAGAGACATCGGTCTGATTCCAAATTTTGCTCAGAGTGCTTGTTCCAGAATATCATGACCTCTTGTAACAAACACAGAACAAAGAATGGGAAGAGGCTAGAATTACAGGAGGCTGAATGTAGCCAGAGAAAGAAGCCCACAGAAAGGCAGCCAGCTGGCAACTGGGAGCACAGGAAGAGGAACCAGCAGTTAGTTCTCTGGTCCTTCCACAAAGTCTTTTCACCCACCACACCCTCGTCCTTACTGAATGAGGAGCTGGTTAGGGTGATGCACCTGCAGAGCTCAGGGGCAGACCAGGGAAATTTCACTTTGGTAAAAATCATTCATATTGGTAATTAAAGATGGAGAGTTGTCTGGCCCCAGGAAGAGGGAATTCATAAACACATCTTCCAGGACAATGGTATTCAAAAGGATTGCCAGAAAACTACCCTGGCAAGTATGTCACGTGGCACTCAGAGAGGTGTGTCTTGGCCTGTTTTGTGTTGCTTTAATAAAATTCTCCTGGGTCTGAATACTTTATATAGAAGTATTTAGCTTGCATTTCTATTGGTTCAAGACCATGGTGTTGACACTTGCGTAGCTTCTACTGAGGGACTTATGATGTGTCACAACATGGCTAAGAAATGAATGGGCATGTGTGGGGGGGGGGACAAAGGGAACCAAAGAACTGACTCACATTATAACAACCCATTTTCCCCAAAACTACCTCAGGAACCACACTGATGCCTTCACGGCAGAGCACCCAGAGCCCAATTACCTCTTAAAGGTCCTATCAGCACTCTCTCAACACTGTTATGTTAGGAGTTCAGCCTCATTGTGAGTGTTATGGGCTACACGTAGCTCAGTGATAGAGCACGTGCCTAGCATGAGTGAGGGCCTGGGTTCAATCTTCACCAAGCAAGAACAACTTCGGTAGAGACAGATCATATATAAAGCCCAAACCATAACAGAGAGACTCAAACTGACTCTATAAAAAGTGAATTTAGCCTTTCCTAATCAACATAAAGCTTCCTTCTTTTATTTTTGTTTCACATTTATTGTTTAATATATAGATAAAAATTATGTATAAAGCATATAATGTGTTACACATACTGATATGTGTATACACTATAAAATTATTTCAATCAAACTAATATTATATACACGTGTCACATATATGTGTATACATTTATAACATAAATATATGCATATATGCATCACTTCATATAGTCACTCTTTGGTATGATAAGAATGCTTCAGCTCTACTCTCAGGGAATTTAACGTTTATGTTCCATACACTGTTAACAATGGTCATCATGCCATCATGCCTCAGATCTGCAGAACCTATCTGCAGAACATAACTGCAAGGTTGGACTCTCTAACCAGCACCTCCCCATGCTTCTAATCCCAGTCATTGATAGAACTCTTCCAATTTTCTGTTCCATTCATCTGACTTTTTAGTAACGTTCCATATATAAATGAGATCATGTGCCATTTGTCTTTCTGTGTTCGGCTTGTTTCATTTAGTCTGGTTTCTTCTAAGCTCCTCCACATTGTACATAACAAGATTTCCCTTTTTTTTTTTTTAAGACCGAGTGGTTGTTTTGTTTCTGTGTGCTGTGACAAAATACGCTTACAAAAAAGGGAGAAGGGAGTTTAATTTAGCTTATAATTCCAGATTACTGTCCATCATCATGGAGAAGTCGAGGCAGGAACTTCAAATAGCTAGTCCTTACTACAACCAAAGTCAAGAGCAGAAAGAAATTAATGCACAAAGCTTGCTTGTTTGTGCTCAGCCTGATTTTTCCATTTTGGTACAGTTAAGGAGCCCTGTCTAAGGAATAGTACTGCCTACAGTGGGCTGGGTCTTCCCATATCAATTGACGTAACTAA